CTTGTGCTCCTTGGTGACTACCTCGGCATGTGCTCTGTTTACTTGAAGTTCTTTGTAGTGACCTACCACCCCCTTGATATTGACTCTCATTTGCATAAAAAAAAAAAGAAATTCCCCCAACCGTGACCACATTCTATTTGACACTGCTTGCTCTCCTCTGATTTGCCATGTTGTCAACCATAATTCTGGTGCAATCTTCTTCCTCGTCGAAAGCTCCTCCGCACTTTATGCACCAAAGGTCTTGACGAAGACACTTTTTTTTTTTTTTTTTTTTTTAACACACCCCCACCTTGACGAACAGACTAGTTTGAGTTCTCTCATATATCGCCATCGTCTGTTTTCACCCATATATATATCCTGTCCATCATCATGGATATCCATATATAAACTGTGGATAGACATGATCATATTTTAATTCATCAACTCTTGCATTAAACGGTCCCTAGAGGAACTATTAGATTTGAAGACCGACCACAATGTAGCTCGAGATAGAATAATTGGTGCTCGGTTAATCGACCAAAGGGAAGAGGAGGTTCCGTTGTTTCGCATCTCTTACACCATGCAGCATCATTGGATTTTTTTTTTTTTTTTTTTTTTTTTTTGGAATCATTGGATTTTCACGAGGGACGCGGGGCCCGGTTCCAGCACGTGCCGATCTACCAATTTGACATTATATATCTCAGGGGACGCTGGACCCGTTTTCCAGTAGATAATAAAAAAAAAAAAAAAAAGACAGGTTGTGGATGACTCGGCTTGTTTGATTGGACGGAGTTGGGGAGACTAGAAGTGCAGAATGCCTTCCAAGTCATGTCATTTTAAGTTCCTCTCGATGCTATTGTATATATATACCGAGGCCAGACGACTTGGATAATGGGAGTTTGGGAGAGAAGAATGCCTTCTTGGTCATAGCGTTACGGGCTCCTCTCGATATTATTGTCCATACCAATGCCATCAGGAGGATACTTGACACGATTATGAAGGACTATCCCAGGCCTCTCTTTCAGCCACCAAACTTTCACTTGATCCAACTCTAGATTAAATGTGAAGACTCTCCTCTCTCTCTCTCTCTCTCTCTCTCTCTCTCTCTCTCTCTCTCACACACACACACACACACACACACACACACACACACACACACACACACAAGGGACATCCTCGGGAATATTGCCTTCCTCATAACAACAGTGGGGAATAAGATCTATCATTCCTCCTTTATCAAGATTCACTCAGTCAGGCACTGGAGGAGAAGATTTTCCTCATGATTGTACCGGTTATTCCATGACTACCTTCAACTGCAATCTATACATGCTTCCTCCTTGTCATTGCATTGTTGTTGCAGAAAATGGAACTGGCCGTTCCTTGAAGGTAAGCCCAAGAACGCAGAACTATAACAATAAGTAACCAACTTTTAATGTACCATAGAGGGATTTGACAAAGCTTCTGAAGTTTTGTCCTACTCCAACCCGTACAAGGGTGGCTTGGACAAACTTCCAATTAACTCTATCATATGCCTTCTGGAAAGTCCATCAAGATAAGAGGGGTTTGTTGAGCTTTTGTTGATTGATTCAGTCTATGCTATATGAAATGGTCACGTTATGAAGAACTTGTCTACCTAGGATACAACCGGATTGTATTTCACATTTCACATAGATTCAGCAAGAGTTCATCTTGATCATCATCATATCATCATCATCATCATCATCATATGAGGGATGCTGAGCCCGGTTATCAGCAAGTTCGGTTTGGTCACTCCGGGTGGACTGTGAGGACCCCGGCCTCAATCTTATTATTGGTAATATCAGCCTTGGGCACTGGGCCTTTAAAAAGAAAAAAGAAAAAAGAAAAAACGGATTGATCTGGGCTTACTAATTTGCTGAGGAGGTGCTTTAAGCGACGGCCCAGCTGGCCGTGGAAAATAAACCGCAGTACCTGCGGCCTCCGTGTTAACCAGCGCGAAATGACAAAATGGCTGGGAAAGGTACTGGTGGTGTGACGCCCAACCTCACGCCCAGCGTGACTTCCTGATCGGAGTAGGATGTGGGCCTGGAAGTGCGAAAAGGGGTGTGCCAAGGATTTTTGGGAAAGTGGGGGAGTCTTAAGGGTATGAACGCAATTAGGCGAATAAGKGGCGCGTGCGCAAGGGACTCAAGGTCCGATGGGGCCGGRGCACTGTGGGCGACGACTTACGGGGAAATCCCTCCGCGGTGGAGGTGGTCCCGAAAAGTAACGCCGTCGGGGGCCGCCACATGGYGCAGGCCGYCGCGTACTTGGATKGGGCCTTCGGAATTCCGGAGTTCTCTGTTCRCCGCTGCGTYGGCAATTCACGCAAAACGTGCTGGGCCAATAGGGGGCTATGGCTGGCCACGGAACGACRCTGAGTTGATGRTACSGGAGAAGAAGGCGGAAAGGAGGGAAACTGGTGGTGATCTCAACGAATCCCGGGTGGGTGAAATAGTAGGTGTGGTYGGGGGAGGGGAAATSAGAGCACCGAGSGTCGCTAGAGGTGGCGCAGTGGAATTCCCRCRGACATAGTCGATTCTCCGTGTGACAGGGGTATCGYAGCCTTATGAGTTCGTTTATCCAAGGGGTGAAATAATCCGSGTCGTAGGATGAGTCTGAGCTCCAAGATCGCGTCATGGTATCATCGTAGATGGGACAGGTCGGGTCGGGCTATCGTCACCGCGCACGGGCACGTGTAGGGCAGGCGAACTTAGTTGCGCCTCATCGTGCCCGTACGGGATGACGGTTCCGCTGCGAATCTTTTTGGGTGGGCGAATCGACGCACGGGAATGCGTGTAAGGGCGCGACTCGGATCGTGTTCACACGTGTTCTCGTGCGGCGTTCGCGGGGCCAGACTTCGGATCGTCTAATTGCTTCGTAAGTTTCGATTATGCAAGATGCAACCATATCAGAACCCCATCGTGAGACAAGCAAAAACGAGAACAAAATCGCTATTGGGGCCAGATTCTTATCCCATCTACAACGGCATCAGGTGCAAGCAAGGATTCGACACAAACAAAAAAGCAAGGATAGGGATTTTCTGCGAAAAGATAGACAAGCAGGCATAACCTTCATACATCCATACATTCGACAATCATACACATAATGCAATTGCAAGGACAGGTGTGAGCAAAAACCCAAGTCCAGATTCCTGAAAGCCGAAACGAAAATAAGAACAGGCAAACCGCCCGCAACCGCAATCAAAATGTATGTACACAGATAAAGAGGGGGAAGAGACAAAGAAACAACAAATCCGCGTCCATCGACCTCAACTCTCTTCTCCTCTCTCTCTCTCTCCGATGCGGACAGTCCGTCGTCGCGCACCAACCCACGAAGTTGTCACCCCGCTTAGTCCTCCCGCACCCGTCGGATTCACCCGTGCCCACAGTCCGTCGTGGCCCACCGTGACGTCAATCCCGCGCGTTCGGCACCAGCCCGTCGGGTCGCCCAACTCCTACTCTACTCACCTCTTACTTCGCTCGTGTGCCGACCCTTCCTGATCCCGCAACCCCGAGCTTCCGACAACGGGTTAAGAGAGCTAACTAATCGCGCAATCGAAATTTATAGCGTGCATGCATGGGCGAAGAACACGTAATTACCAGGACTTAGAGTGGGGATTAGAGAGGGAGCGCCTGCGTTCTGCATGATCGACCGCGGCGTGGGGGACGTAACCCTTCTCCACGCATCGATCCGAGCATGCAAGCCGCGACTTACGAAAAATTCAGCAAAAGAAAGAGAGGGAGGGCGGGAGAGACGGAGTGCAAGAAGAAAGATACAGTTATAATGGCGCCCACCCAAAATTACAGTTACACACACGATTAAGGGCGCCCACTAATCAGATTACCGTTGCAGCTGCATGAAGAAGCGCGTAGACAAAAGGCGCCTCGTGGCAGGAAAAATCCTAATTACCGAATTCCTAAATTCCTATGTAATGCGAAAACGCAAAAAGTACAAATTCCAGAAGGAAAGTCCAAAATTCCGAGAGCCATCAGGGCTCGACAAAAAAAATTCGAAGAAAAAATTCAAAAAGAACCGTGCAAATTCCCGCGCGATGTCCGCGCTCAAAAGATCGAAAACGAAACGACGTTAACATTTATTAATCGCGCGCGCGCGCTGCGATGCGCCAGACATCCATCCGACCAATCAATCAACCGGCCGTCCTAGGACACACCCAACTCCGAACCCAGACATCCGATAAGAAGCGACGAAAAAGGACAAAAAACACGGGTACTGTTGCAATTTTCCACCGATCCCGATCTCCCGTAATTGGCCCAACCTTTCCAGCTTAGGACCCCTCGTTGCAACTGCGCAGAAAATCGCGCGTTACAGAAAGTGGTTCGTCATATATGTGACGCCCAGGGGGTTCCAATATTAGCAAGCTCCTGCTTGCTTGTTGACACGTGTCGATTTCTCTAATCGATTGACAGGCGGAGCACTTCTGTCCGTTCAACTGCGTGTGGACGTCATCCACGTGGCAACATTGCTCTTCTACTAATTCTGCAGATTGGGTTCTTGACGATCCAAGGACAGGATCCTTCTCATGCCGACGCCGCGACATGCGTCCATTACCGTTGCATCAGTACTTAACCGGAAGGGGGAAAGGAAGGCGGTACACGTATGAGGGAGGGCGAGGCGGCTCCATCGTGAGCTCAGGTATGAAGCGCCCGATCGCAGTGAGGTCGTAGGGAAGCTCTTGAAAGCGGACGATGCGATGGAAGCGGGGGAATCGCTGGTCGCTGTGGGGAAGGGAAGCGAGGTAGTCTGGGTAAAGGGAAACGAGGGTTCGGAGGACGTCGGTGCGGAACCGATCATGGTCTTCGCACGCGGGAAAGGTCCCCGTAACGATGCAGTAAACCTCTATGTGGTTACGGCCTCGCCACGCGGCGCTAAGGAGTAGAACGTGGAGGGGGTAATCGGGGACTGCGCACCGAGCTGAAGGGTGGGGGTGGACAGTCAGCTCTAGGTGGGCGGAGGGAAGGGATTACGGGGGAAGACGACGCGATGGAAATACTGATTGAAAGAGAGGTAGCTAAGGGGACAGTGGTATATGGATCGGGGACAAAGGGCGAAGCCCCTCATTGACACGTTGACGGATTGGGGGACGGGCGAAGGCGGAGGGGGACGGGGATCGGGATCGGGGTCGGCGCCTTGTCGTCGCGGCGCTCGAGGTTGTGGCAGCAAGGTCTCCATGTTCCGGGTTGGGCGGCTCGGGATCCTTGGAAGGATCGCTCGATGCGGAGTCGATCGCCGGCCGCTTTCCCTCCGCGACCTCTTTCTTGCGTTGCGCGGCAGCCTCAGGGTCCTCTCGTCGATCCAATCCTAGCACCCACCCGAGCTCGTCGTCGTGCGTCGGCTCCTGGTCGTCTCCGTTTTCCCCTTCTTCGTCGTCGTCTTTGTCCTCCTCTTCACTTGGCTCGCCCTCACTGTGCTCGCTATAGGCTTCCTCCTCTTCTTCCGAGGTCTCCTCCTTTGCTTCCTCTTTTTCTTCCTCTTCTTCAGCTTCCGCCGACTCTTCTTCTGCTTCGCGTTCTTCTTCCTCGTCCTTGGCCAACCGGGCCGCTGATTCCCCGGCCTCTCTCCTCAATTCTCCTTCCAATTCTTCTTCTGCCTCCGCTTCCGCTCTCAGCGCCGCCCACTCGAGCGCCGTTGGTTGCCGAAAGAAGCAGGGATTAGTCAGGCTGTGGACGTCCACGTACTCGCTGCGAGAGGGAAAACGGTCGTCCGCCCAACGCTCCTCGATACAAGCCAATCATTGGAGGCTCGCGGCAAGAGTCCTTGAGAGGGTATATGGCACGGGCTCTTTGTCGCTCTAAGAGACGATATTGAGGGGGAGTTCGTCGGCCAGTCGCGCAATCACGATCGTAAGTTTGCGCACGATCTGTGATCGGTTTCCCCGATCCACTGCTCCAAAGATGAATCCCAGAAGGTCTCCCGCTACGTTGGTCTTCCACGCCTGAATGACGATCAGCTCCACGGTCTCTGACGCGGGCCTCCGATCGCCTTCCCACGTCCAGTTCAGATCCACTCGTAGCAGGCAGAATGAGAGCTCAACGAACTCTGCACGCCACAGCCTCCAACGATCCGGATCAACGATAGGCACTGTCAGCGGCTCCAGGCAGAAGGAGAGACGAGGATAGTGAGAGGACTGCCAGAAGATGGGGAAGAGGGAGGGAGGAGAAAACGTCGAGATCGGCGCGCGGCTCATCTACGCGGCTGGAAGGGAGCAAGTTCTGGGAGGACGATCGGTGGCTCGCGCAGCGTTGTGCGCAGCGTGTTGACCTCGATGCCGTCGACAAGGTAGCACTCATCACCGTGCCTTGTGAGCCGTCGATCCCAATCAGTGGCCAGATCACGACCCCACCGGTACAAGGTGCTTTTGATGGCGACTTGCCGCGCCGGATCGAAGGCGGTGATGTCGCCGCTGAAGACTACCACGGTAGACACGTGACTAATTCCTGGGGCCACTCGCCGTTGGAATGTCGTTGCCTCGGCCAGCACCACCACCTGGGGGTTGCTCGTGAACCGGAACTCTGCCGCGCCGTACACACCCGCGGTGCAGGAAAACTGCGCAAGGCGCATGAAGTCGGGGCTGATCCGCGGATGATGCACTTGGCGGATGGCTGAGATCTCTCCTCGTGGCATCAACAACTGATCACTGAAAGCTCGCTCGATGGCGAAGCTCATGGTGATGGCGGGGGTGGCGGAGTGGCAGAGTGGGAGCAAGAAGGAGAGGGAGATGGCGGAAAGTCAGAGCCGTCGTCGTTGGCTTCCTCAGAAAGAGAGATCAAGGGAGAAGGAGACGGAGCAGAGGGGAGGAGGCGAAGATAGGACACGTGGCGTGTGATCGGGCGAGCCGATCGGCTGCCAGAGACTTCAGGGGCGAGACGCACGGTGTCCACGCCGTTGGGGCCGAGCTCGATCACGCGATATCGTCCGAAGAATCGTGGCGCTAGCTTACCCTGGCGAGCACATTTCCTCACCTGCACCACGTCCCCCAATTTGTACTGGGGCCGTGGACCCGTATTCCCATTTCGGGCCTCGTAGCTCCGGACGCCTTGGGTTAGTTCGGTCATTTTCTGTCGTTTTCAGGCTAGCCTGGGCAGTGACCGTTCCATTAGCTCTAGGTGTCATTTGGTCTTGTCCCTAGCCGTGGCCCTGATGGGCCGTCGGTTCAATGTAGACTCATCTGGGAGGCTTGGTATCGAAACACAAGCGACACTATTGGTCCTTAATTGGAAGGGGCTTAACCCCGTTGATTCGTGGGGCGTTCCGCGATGGACCGCCAGGATATGATCGACGATATCGGGCCAGGGCCTCGGATCCCGTGCCGCGATGTTTCGTCGCAATGCTGTCTTTATCACCCGGTTAGCGTTTTCGACCAGCCCATTGGATTGTGACATGTGGGGTGCAGTGTTCCGTATGGCGACGCCATGTATGACCAGATTCCTTAACACTTCTCACTTGAATTCAGCCCCGTTATCGGTCAGAATCTCTTCCGTATCCTGATGCATCTCGAGGAAACGGTTGACATGTCGCGCGATTTCCGTGGCCTGCCGTGTGCGACAAGGATACGCTTTGATCCATTTCGAGAAATGGTCGACAAATACCAGTAGGACTGAATATTCGCAACTATTGGGGCCAGGGGGCACCACTATGTCGGTAGTGTCCATACTTACTCTTTGAAATGACCGTTCAACAACCGTGGGCACTATCGATCTTGGTGGCTAAATCGCCGCTTTATCAGCGGCGCAGACTTGACAGTTGGCGACAATGTATTTCACATCGTCGCGGATATTGGAACAATACCATTCATTTTTGTTGATGGCAGATTCCGTGATTCGTACGGCAAAATGGGCCGCAGTTTCTTCGTGGGCTGTCTTAACCCAGTCATACCTCATTAACGGATGCGGTACCACTATCCAAATCCCACTGCCGTCCGTTTTCTGTTTTTCCAATCTACCTTCTACCCACCGTTAATCCCGAGCCCTTTCGTTAGCCCTCCTCCAATCTTCCTTGGTGAAATCCTGGAGGGGGTTACCTACTAGGGTGGCAATTAAGGCAATATCAGTCCATACTTCGGCCCTTCTAAATTTCGAGGTCCTTTCCAACCCTTCTGACGTGGCATCCAAAAAGCGAGTCTCGGTCGGAATCTTGTCGGTCCGGCACAAGGGACATAACCACGGTTTACTATCGTTCCTGTATTGGATGCACGAGCCATGGGCTCGCGCGACACACTGTCGGCAATCTATCCAATCCACATACCCTTCCTCATTAGGACGCATGGAGACCGAATATACGCGGGAGATAGCTTCGCAAAAATAGCAAAATTTGTCAGGCAGGGAGAGGAGAGACGAAGAGGAAGGGGTGAGAGAGGGGTAGTGGGGTTACCTCCATCACCCATCGCCACCGTTTTGCTTTTTGCCACGTGGGAGAACTGCCACCTGTCCGTACTTAGGTTCGTTGGTCAAGTCCGACTCTTTCCGCGGTGTAATTTCCGCGCCCTTTAGTACCTTGGCAGGCCGATGCAGACGTGTCAGTCCGTCCGCATTGCCGTGTCGCTATGTCTTTCGATGGACGATATCGAAGTCGTACTTTGCAGTCGCACCGCCCAATGGCCAATCATGCCCGTGTAGTTGGTGAGCTTCTTCAAAGCTAGCAGAGGCTCGTGATCCGTCACGAGGCGAAACTTCTGTCCGTAGAGATACGGATGGAAGTGTTGGATTCCCCAAACTACTGCATAGCACTCGCCTTGAGGTGCGGAGTCGTTTCGACGTTCGTCTGGCACTGTGCGTGACGCGTACTCGATGACGTGTTCGCGACCATCGTTCCCCTTCTGCGCTAGAATAGCGGAAATAGCTTCGGGTTGCCAGTCCGTGATGAGAATGAACGGCTTCGAGGGGTCCGACCGAATCAAAATAGGGGCCGTCGCCAGAGCGTCCTTGAGGGTTGCAAAGGCCTGCTGGCACTCCGCGTCCCAGCTGAGAGGCTGGTCCTTCCATAACAGATTCGTTAGTGGTTGTGCAATCGCGGCAAAACCCTTGATGAAGCGCCGATAGTACGACGCCAACCCCAAGAAGGCTCGAACCTGCGTCAGTGGCGTGGGAACCGGGGCTTCCTTCACCGCCGTAACTTTGCTCGAGTCTGGCCGCAATTCTCCACGTGTCACGACGTAACCCAATAACAAAATTTCTGAGAGGAAAAATTCGCTCTTCTCGAGCGCAATCTTGAACCCAGCGTCTCTCAACGTGCCCAATGTCCATTCGATGTGTTGCGCGTGCCCGTGATAGGTTTCCGAGTAGACCACGATATCGTCCATGTACACGATTACGCAGAAGTTAATCATCCCTTGCGTCAGCCTTGTCTTGTTGACAAAATTTTGGAACGTCATGTTCAT